CCAAGCAAGCAGCCAACCAAAAGTTGTCCTCTGGAACTTAAAAACAGAGAACAAGGCTCGCTCCTGTAAAAGGTGCTTATGGAGCCCTTCAATCCTAGGAAGATCTGGCTTAGGAAATAATACAAAATAGAAATCATTTATTTTTATTAGGTCCATTTTAATAAAGTGTATAAGAGTTTACAACTCAAACAATTATTCATAAAAACTACCAGATACATAAGATAGATCACACGAAGAGTGCAATAACATAAATCTAATAGTCTGCAAATAAGAGGTATTGCAAAAACTGTTAAGATTGACTTTATAAATGTCTTTTTCCCTTCCTTTCCCATGTTTACAGCCCTTGAGATTGCATGCACATATTGTTTTCTGAGGTCTGAGGACTTCAGTATTCCTTATAGCCGAGTGGACTTCCTCATTCAGTCAACTCAGAGTGTTTTGTGAACAGAGGGGTTCGCCTCTTCTCCATGGAACGAGCACAGTCCTTGGCCTTTATTTGGTTTCTATCCCCTAACAAATGGCATCAGACACTTTCTCTTTCAATGGAACGTCTTGCAGGCCTTGTGCTGTCTGGTCACTGTTGCCAGTCCAACACCACACATGAGCCAAGGGTTCAGGTCAAACCCTACTGAGTTTTAGCCTGTGGATGAGACGAGCATGCTTACTGTGGAAACAGCTGAGGCAATGGCTGACTTTCCCACCTGTATCTACAACAACTCCAGTCCTAACTCAAGAGTTGTTGGCAAATGGGACTAAATTTACTCAAGCCAACTACCTATTGCCACCACTTGGTATTCTTTGGATGCCTTCATAAGGAGGTCTTCACACCATGGCAGAAAGCATGAGGATACACACACACACACACACACACACACACACACACACACACACCCTTCTCCATTCGCAATCCTCAAACAGGAGTCTTTGGCAGACTCAGAGAATACAACTGGATTTGCCACTTCAGAGTGAAAAGGCTACGTTGTTTTCTCTCACTCCCAAAGTTTCACTTTAACTGATATTGTTAAAAACCACTGCTGCAATTCCTTGCCGAAAGGAATCAGACAGATCCCTTTAACACATACATGCGCTTCTATTACAACGCAACGCCGGTATCATTGACTTGATTTCAAGAACAGACGTTGTTACTATACACTCAAAACAGTGCCACCCATATTGAGACCGCTGGGAAGTAGCTGAGACTACATTTCTTACAGAATTATAAATTATGGGAATCTTGGACCAAGCCACGAGTGTGCTGCTTAGCACTTAGCCATTTTGACAAGCAATTCCAGAGTCCTTTCACACCTAGACTTGCCCCTGAATCCTGGAGCACACTCGGCCTGTGTTAGATCATGCTGGAGAGATGCCTTTGGGTTGTCTCCAGAGTAAGGCTGGGCTTCTGCCAACCTTCCTTCACCTGTTCTCCTAGTGCATAAGAAAGGGGAAAGGTGAGACATTTCAGTCCTATTTGGAATTATTCCAGTGTGGTGAGATTATCATAGGTTAGGCTGAAACTTAAGAAGGAACTGTTTACAGTAACAAAGGCACAGGAAAATTAACATGATCCTTCAGTCCCACGTGTCTCCCTTCACTTATTGGTATGGTCATAACAGGGGAATGTTAAGTGAGGAAATGAAGGGGTGGGAACAGGTACAAGGAAGGTGAGCCAGGAAGGCCTGTGGGAATAAAGAAGCAGGAAAGAGCTGTGTCTGGCAGTGTCTTAGTGATGGGATCTTGCATACCACACGTGGGATGCCCGTTTCCTAATAAAAGTCAAGGTACCAAGGAATCAGTAGGAACACTAAGTCAGAGAGCAAGGTGGCATCTGGGGGATCGAGACACCGCCAGTGTAGATTTTCACATCTAAGCTGAGGCAGCTAGTTGTTTTCAGCAACCTAGAAAATTTATTTTGTAGCAGAAGAACACAAAAACAATTCCCAACCAGATACTACTTATTTTTTTTATTTTCAAGCATCTTGAAACCCTTAAGGGAACTTCACAAGTTTGCAAATATTCTGATGGTTAAACAAAACAAAACAAAACAAAGCAAAACGGAAAAGCCCCCAGAACTGCAAGCAGTAGTTCACAAAGGGATTGAAAAATTACATGATTCCATTTAAAATCTTCGTGTTTACTCCATCAGGCAGGATGGGAGGATTGGAACCCAGGAGTGACTGTGACTGTGGGCATTCACAAAGCACCTCTACCTCCTTAAAAGCTGCAGTCTTTCCAATGGCTTTCCTATGTTTCTTTTATCAAAATAATCCAGGTTCCAAACCTCTCAGGTAAAACTGCACCTGTGTGACCAGCAGCCATTCCACAGTTGACTGGCACGTGTTTTCCAATTTCAGTTTCAAAGACGTAGCAGAGAATGACATCTTTCTTATTAAAGGCACCCAATGACTTCATTCTCATGCTGGAGAATGAGTTGGATCTCACCCTTCTCCAGTTTCCTATACAATTTCCTATCGATAAAATACATATTATATGACCTATGTTTTGATGATGTTTCCTTATGGTATCAAATACAGCGTGATTTAAGTTCTATTGTCAGATAACTCTGGTGATTATATTTATTTTAAATAAAACTGAGATCTGCTACTTTATGAGTCAGTGAAATGTCCACTGAATAGCTGGAAACACTGATATACATGTACTCTAAAACTTACTACATCAATAACGGAACAATAAGATGCTGATATTCTTATTGAAAGTTTAGAAAGAAACATTGGTCACCAGATTAAATTCAGACCTAATGTGGCCACGTGAACATGCACACACCAGTCTACAAATAGGACGTTTTCAACTCATTAATAATGAGTGAGCCCAAAATGAAATTGAGTTTATGACCCAGGTTCCCATAGGTCCTGCCCAGCTTCTGCTTCCACATCAAATTTTGTTCATTCCACTTCCTAATCTAACAAGGACTGGGAGCCTAGAGGGTCAAATGTAGCTCAAGAAACAGCTATGTTAAATATTTCCCACCACACATAGTAAAACTTCATTAATTTAATAGTGACTGTTAGTCAACTGACATACATTTTTTAAAAGTTCATCAGTGCATGTTGTGGTTCAATGCTTTACATCTAAATATATTCTGGCTCATCACGCTCCATTGAAATGAAAGATCACAAGTTCCTGCATTTCCTAACAGATGTGTAAAAGCAAATAACACATAAATGTAGAAGGTACAGTATTTTGTTGATTATATACTTCTTTTTCTCTTTAATGTTAACCTGCTGCACTATAGGTTTTGGAAACATGCATTTGGTACTAATTCAAAGCACCTTGAGCACTCCTAATTCCTTTAACACTAAAATTTCTAGAATTCCAGATTCAGAATGGCCTCTGGCAAGAATATTTTATCTTTATTTCTTTAAATGTTTATTTATTTTGAGAGAGAGAGAGAAAAAGAGAATGAGCAGGGGAGGGGCAAGAGAGAAGAAGAGAGAATTCCACGTAGGCTCTGCACTGTTAGTGCGGAGCCCGATGTGGGCTCAATCCCACAAACCGTGAGGTCATGACCTGAGCAGAAATCGAGAGTCTGACATTTAACTGACTGAGCCACCCAGGTGCCCCAGCAAGAATATTCTATCTTCAAATGATGCATTTACCCTATATGGTCCAAAGATCAGTGCAGAATTTACTAGTTATTAGCTAATAATTAATATAATCTAGTCAAAAATGTTCATGCGTCACTCAATAAGAACACAAAAGTAATTTGCATGTGTTTACATTCATTTCCTATTCAAAGCATGTATTTAGAGTCTCCACCCATCATAGGTCTCCAGTGAGAATAAAAAAGGATTACAAGCCCATGCTTGACATGATTCAACTACGTAAAAAATCACCATAATTTTATCAATTTTACCTTGAGAGCTAACATGGCTACTTGATTAAGAAGTGATCAAATAACCAAAGGAAAGACATTTTGCAGGGCTATTACAGGGGTAATCCTGAATATTTGGAAGAGTGAGTGAGAATGACCTTCTACTTTAAGAGTTTCTGACAGGGGGTGAGAACCTCCCTGCCTATTCCTACCTCTTAGCTCCTGGCTTTGAAGGCTTTAATTGATTAATCGCCAAGGGAAGAGTCTGGGGTGCGAAGTTCCATATGCATTAGCCCAAACTATGTATTCAACTGAAAAGATGATTTTGCATCAATTGTTACCCAGAAAAATCAGAAATAATCACTGGGAGAAAAGCAAACTCTTAGAGGCAACATTTCACATTCCCTAAAGCGAAAGACTGGTGTGGTTGAAAACTCAGGTGTGGAAAACCACTGCTGACAGCCTGGATCCAGTGCCAATGATCAAAGTTTATCTTTTATCCTGGACATTTCAAACAGGTGGAGACTAAACTAGAAAAAGTCTTGAGAAGTTGCTGTTCATATCCCACCACCAAGACCCCTAAGCTTCAAATTTAAAGAGTGTGATACCTAATCAGCTGCAATAAGACTGTGGCATTCTGGGTTGAATCTTGGATGAATTTCCAACTCTCACATCATGAATTTGGTTTGGTAAGTAACTCTCCCAACTTCTCCAGCTACAGAGACATCACTAACATCTATTATTACAAGTCACTGGAAGCTTTCGGGTTGATACATGGCACAACAGCTCTTTCCATTAAATTGAACTTCCTCAGTAGAAATCTTCCTATGGAGACACGAGTTTCACCTTAAGGCACTATACTAAAAGGTACGAAAACAGCTGGGAATGAGTCAGATCTTTCCAGAAATAGAAGACATTTCAAAAACCACAAGTCAGTCACCTACCTGGCCTACTTCAACATCTACAGAAGACAGAGAACTGGAAGGTTTTCATGGCTAGCTGATTCAGCTCTTTTCTCTTCTCCCAAGCCAATTAACATGTCTCAGATTTATATTTCCTCAAGAGGCAGTGCAGAAAGATACCAAAGAATTGGAAAAAACAAATAAGCAAGCAAATCTAGTTTGTCGCCTAGTCTCATGATGAATTCCATAGTGACAGCATGGAGTGCTCAAAGGTTTTTAAGTACTTTAATAAAATATTACTAACACCACACACCCAATGGTTAGAGCTGTAACAAGGTGCTCTTCTCTATTGTTCTGGGGTGAAAATTATAAAAATAATTAAATTTTCAAGACCACATAAAGGGAATTTGCTAATACCAAATAGCACATTTTGGAGAAAGAAAAATCGACTCTGAAACCTCAGTTGCAGCAGGATTTTCCTACACCTTCCAATGAATTCAATTTTGCCACGAGAAAAGAAATAGAAACAGGGCTCATGTCAGTTAGGTCAGGAGACAAATGCCAGTAAATGAGTGATTGTGGAGGTAGGCATAGTAAGACAGGATTTACCTAAAGGGAAAATACTCCCTGTGCACACACACACATGGCACACATACCTGTGCACTCCTAGTGATTTAAAAGGCATGGGCACGGGAAGGCTCAACACTGTTAAGACAGGAGCACAGATATCTCATCTGTTTGCATTTCTATGTAGGAAAGGAGCTGACACACGTTACACACCCACAGACACTCATATGTGTGAGAGACCAGCCTGGCTCGCACAGACTCAGAAACCGATCTGGAGAATCCTTGTAGAGCTGCTGGTTTTACAGGAATGATTAGAATCTGCAGAATTACACTTCCTCTTGATTTGCAGGATTTTCACCTTGCATTTCCTTCCAGAAATATCCCCTTTGCAAGAGCATTAAGTCAATTCCTGAAGGGACTAATCCTGTGTCCTCCAATGGACATGACTTGGAACAGAAACTGCAGGAATAAACCTTGCAGTAACATAGCCCCTTTGGAGTTTGGGGTGAAGTATTTCTGGATCCAAACAAAGAAAGCAGAGTTCTGGGTGGAGGTGGAGATAGAAATGTCTGGAAGTCCAGAAATCAATATAATCAAAAGAAATGAGCATAACTTAAAGGGGTTTCAGCTAAGTATCACTGCAACTGAGTCTGTTGAGTGCAGAAGTTCTGCTCTGATATGTGAAACTGAAAGATAATAATCGGTGTATTTCTTCTGAGATAGGCTCAGCTGGGAGTGACGTGGTAGGTACTGAGGGTGGGGTAAAGACAGAGGCCTAAGGCTCGGGGATCACTCCTAAGGTTTCTGCTTGCCTGACTTTGAAGGAAAGGGTGCTAAAGCAAAAGGATCCGCAGCTGGCAGCTCCGTAGTCCTGGAGGAAAGGGATGTGATGGAAACAGAGCCAGCTATCGACTGTTTGTTGGTCTGTGAAACAATTTTGTAGGCAGCAATGGGCTGGGCTTCTGGACTTGGCTCATCTTCTGGGCTATAGTGACGGGAGTATTTGGATAAAGACTGGGGGCGGAATGGTTTGCCAGCCACGGGGCCTGAGACAGCTTCTTTCTGGGGCTGAGGTCCTTTGTTTCTGTCATTAGGATGGCCCCCAGGTTCCAGGGATGGTCCCCTGGGAGAGATGCTGTCAAGATGGTCTGCTGCTTGTACAGGATGGGAGGGGTGGTTAGACTGTTGGACAAAAGCAGCCATTGAATACTGAGCTCGGACGGGAGCATACACCGCTCTCTCCAGGCCTGGGAGCAAAGGGGCGTCATCAGTCTGGCTGAGGAGACTGGCCTGCACAGACAACTCCTGGGAGGCACTCTGAGCAACTGCTAACTCCTCCATGCTCTTCTTCTTGGTAAAAGGAGCTCTCAAGAACACGTCTGCCTCCTCTGGCTGGGAAGGAGCCACACTGCCCTTGGAGACAAATGGGGCTTTGGAGAAAATATCCATGTCATCACTTGGAACCCTTGAGCTCCTGAAGGGGGCCGTGGCAAAAACGTCTGGCTCCCCCAGACCATCAGTGGTCGGTTGTGTGAGGGCTTGGAACTGGCTTGTTCTTCCACCTTGGCCTGCTTTTGCTTGCTCAGTAGAGACTTCCAGCTGAGTGAACGGGATGGCTCCTCCCAGCTTCCCCTGCAGAGGCTTGCAGTTCTCATCCTCTTCTTCAGACTCCATGAGTAGAGGTCGGGACCCACTGCAGTCTAGCATGTCCCCCTCGAGATCAGTCCCTTCCTCTTCGCTGCTGTGGAATGAACTGTTGCTTGAAGGGCCATCTCGGGCCAAGTAGTCAGATTCTAAATTGTTCTGAGTTTTCATGCCAGGTACTCTGGAGGGGTCTGGATACAAGGGAAGGCCTTTAACACCCGTTGAGTCTTTAAAGTGCTCTACAGTTATTACGGGACAGGGATTGGGATCTCTCTGGAGACCTAGAAAAGCACAAAATGAAGAATTAATGCACAGATCAGTCCAACTCTCCACGGAACATTTAATGGTCAACCCGCGGCAGAAACATTGTGGGACCAAATAATAAAGGTTGAAAATGGAAAAGGAAAAACGGAAAAATAAAATCAGGCAAGACAACGGCACACAAACTGGAACACAAGCAATCACTGTCTCACATTTTGGAACACGATAGGCATAATGTACAGGAAAGGAGATGAAGATGTTAGGCACACAGACATTCAGCAAAACTACGTGCCGCTCCTACTCATGGGGCCAGACACGGACACCTGCTCTACCTGGCACTGGCTCACGATGGAATGAAAACAAACCCAGTCACTCATGTCCACATACACCATGGAAGTTCTGGATTATGTAGAAATACTGTCTGGGGACAAATGCAATTCAGTATCTCACATGTGGTCATCTGCTCCATACTGCCTGTATCTGAGAAGAGATTCCTCACAAACAACACCCTCCCCACCCCCCGCCGCCCTGGAAGAGCAGCAGAACACAGCTGCTTGATAAATGCAAGCTTTACATCGGAAGCACTACTCAAAGAGCACAAGAGTGCCCCAAATACCAACACTGAAGGCACTTCTAAGGGGAGGAGACATGGTCAAAATCATACTAAATAAATCACCTTCAGCTGGAATTGCTTTGGAATTTTGTTTTCAGTCTTCTAAGTTAGCAAAGATCTCCTCTGCTTAAATGAATGTATCATAAAGTCCTTTAAGCAGAAGGAGTAAAATACAAGGATAATTACAGAAATATTTGCAAACTCTAATATACTAGTCTACTTCTATCTAGATAGAGGTGCCTCAAGGTGCTCTGGCTTTTAAAATCAAATAGACAATTATCAGAATGCAAGAGAGCTTACCTTCCAAGAAATATTAGCAGGTTAGAAGTATGTCATTGGGCACATGTTAGCAAAAGGGCAGGAAAAAGGCATATGTAACTAAGCAAGAAGAATCCAGAGAAAGGGTGGTTGGGGGTAAAGATATCATTTTGTCATGGGTTTCCCAACCCACCAGGCATTCGGTACAATGGTTTGGATTCTGTAGATGACTTGGAACCTCTGTACAGAGGCAATTCCATCATCCCCTCCCCACGTTACCCTCTTCCCTTCCAGCAAGTCATTAGCTAGTAGAAACTTCTGCTAACAATTATCCCCTGCTAACATTTTCGCTTGAATTAAGCACACAGAACACAGCAGAAGCAGCATCAAAATCAGTTTATTGGGAAACCAGTCACTTAGAAACATTACATTGTATGAAAAGAGATGTAGAGAGAGATTGGAACATTTTAGAAGATACTATACAAAAATACTATGTTTCTTGGAATTCTATAACTTATTAGCAGTGCTTCTTTTTAAACAGCTCTGACCTTAAATATCATTTTCAGAAAGAAAAAAAAGGTGGGTGTCCCCCTCATTTTCTAAGAGTTCAAATGCATTTCGTGAATTCCTAATTAGAGTCTTTAAGTAAAATTCTGTACTGGTGCCAAACGGCTTACTGAGTAGTGTTTAAATAATACAATTTTGAAGAGGATAACTTTCTTCAGATACAGTATTAGTACGTGTACCTACAGGGTGATATGAAAGCATTAGTCAGCTGGCAGGAAGTAAACGGAACACCTTTTCTCTTGCAATATATGCAGAGAGACATAATCCTAACCTCTCAGGCAAGTATATTGATCATCAGTTCTGTCACTGATTCCTAAGTGATTATGATTTCTGGGAGGAAATTCAAATGAAAGGGGGCAAAGAAGCTTTCCAAAATAAGGTTTACCAAACAAAGGGGTATGAAAGCCATCCCCAAACTCCTTGAACCACTTCCTAACATAGCATCAGGTAGACGATGTTTTCAGTTGCCCAGACTAAGGCACAATTTCTCATCTTCCAAAACTACCCTGAGAGTTGATGTTATCAAGCCAGTTCTGTAGAAGGGGAAAATATCTCTTAGGGAAAAGAAGTGGTATATTGAGTAAAGCTAATGACCAATTCCGGCATCATACCCATCAATAAGGAAAACTGAACAACAGTGTGACAGGAGTTAGTGTCTTGGGGAAATTTAAACTGAATTCAGTCAGATCAATATGTAGATCTGGCAGAGAATGCCAAGAAAGCAGCTACTGATAGAACCAGAGGCACTACGGATGCCTCAAGTCTCAGATTCCATTTTGAGAACTACCAAATACCAACTAGAGGTGCCCACATCCAGAGCTGGACAGGATGGAAGAACATACTTAACCTTTCTAGATCACTTAAGAAGTGGGTTCTTGGTTGACTGGAAACCTGCCAAACTAGCATATTTTCGGACTTTAATGGTAATAAGAAAATCATACCTAGAATTTCAAGAACTTTTAAAAATTCACAAGCATAGTAACAAAAACCCTTTAACAGTGAGTTTGCAAGGAAAACTTATTTCCAGTTCTTCAAAACAAGGCCAGACCCATTTCTATTTTTCAGCATTATTCTAGCTTTCTAGGGTTGGAAAACTAAAGGATTTTCCTGAGAAGGCTAAATCTCTCAACCTCTTCATTCATTTTAGAGAAGGTATGGTGTGACGACAGCAGAGAGCAACCGCCCTTTGCAGCTCTCCAAGCTGGGCATTCTAGACACCAAAGAATGCCGGGAGGTTTGGGGAAGCATAGACATCCACACTCCCTCAGCGCAAGAACCAAGCAGTCAAGAGAATGAGAGATTCTAAATAACTGTGAGAAGATGGACACTGAGTCTTATTGGCAGTCAGAGGTTCTTTCTGGAATATGAGTGTGTTCTTGTAAGGTAGGGAAGGCACGTATTTTCAAGGTGAACACTCCTTATAGATGAAGACGGCCTTGCACTATTAGGAAAACATGTCTGCAGTGGTCTGGCTACTAGCAATGAAGGATTTGCACTAATTTAACCTTGTGTCTTGGCTCTGTTCCTCTGGTAACCAACCATGCATAGCAGATGCCCCGTGACCACAGAGCTCAATAAAGTTAGCCCGTTGTTCCTGAGGAGTGGGGGACTTAAATCTAGGACCTGGTTCTGCAGTCTGCACGAGGGTCTTTCATATCATAAAGCCTAAAGTAGGGCATTTTGTTCTAATTCCCTCAAACTGGGTTATGTGTCTTTCCATTGTGGTTTAGGCCGTTAAATTAAGCAAAAAGGCAAGACATGCTTCTTTTTCTCGCTCTCATGTAGGACTGTGTGCAAAGTTAAGGTTAAGTATACGTTTTGAAGCTTCTACCAGGGATAACGCCATTTTAGTCTATTTTGAGGCTCCAAATTGTGTAGACTTCCCTAAGAGTTTATATGCTTGACAGAGTAGTAAAGGAGTCCCCCAAAAGTATCTGATGACTTGGCAACTTTCTTCACTAACTGCTTACTAACTTCCAAAGCAACCATAACTGTTAAATGATTTGGGATATGTTTACCCTCGGAATTTTATTGGATGGACATAGTGAGAGGGTCATCAGAGTACTTTAAAAAAAAATAAAAATCTGAAGACTTAAATTTCAGGCTGGATACTCTTTAGTATAATCGTGCACAATCTGGAATTTTCCTTTTCTCCATACTACAAACTGAAATAACAGGCATAGGAAGTATCAAAGACATAATTCTTGCTAAAAACTGAAAACGAAGACTTGGGGAGTACTGAGAAACCTTCTCATGCATTTAGCAAATAGAAAGCAAAACATCCCTTCATAAGAATGTCAGAAATGCAGCACCAATTGAAAGTCACACTTTTGGAGCCAAATCAGGGAATCAAGAGATGTATATCAAATTAATAATTTCCATGACCTTTTAGCTTTGATAATAAAATTAAGGGTTTGGTTCTACCATATGTTGTGCAGTGGCATTAAGACCCATGACTGGGGAACAGAGATTTGATGGGAGCCAGCATGGGCCAATGATGCCGTGCTTCTCAAGCCAGTGGAGCAATTAAATGAGATTTCTCCCTGGGTATAAAACTGCTGTTGCCAACATAAAATGTTTAATTAAACTGGCCTGGGTATATTAAAGATTAAATTAGAGGAGGGTAGCTGCAAATCTGTGCTCCATTTTCAAACCTGCGTCTCGTCATATCAAATGCAGGCTCACAGGGGTTTTATTCTCCCTGACTCCAAGGTAGCCATGGCTCATGTAAAATGTCCTCAGCAGGTGTCCACACTTTCCTTGTGCACAGCTACTTACTGCTGCTAGACAATGGGTTTAAATCCTTTGTGCAAAAGTGGGCTTTCAGATTAGGAAAGGAGCAGCTATTTTAAGTTATTTACATCTGTGAACATCAGCCTCCTGGTTGAACAGATAAGTCTTTATTCCCCTGTATGTTTACATAATAAATTGTTTACAGACTTTTTTTTAAAATACAATACTTGCGTGGCAGTGTTTAAATTTCATATTTTTACTGTACAAGATAGCTTCGGGTACCTTTGTTTGCTTTGTCTTCTTGGGGAGGACATGATAAAGACCTGCGGTAAATATACATCCATGTGACAAGGGGGTGTGAAATCGAGTAGAGCAGAATACTCACAGGAAGAAGAGTAAGGTCAGGACACTACACCAAAGTGGGAACCAAGGAAGTGTCTTCCATCCAAGCAACTACCACCATTTGACAACTCTGCATAAGTTAGCATTACCCAGAGAACCTCCTTCCTCCACCTTGGTGAGAAGAAACCCAGGATAAACAAAGTAGTATCTTGTTACAGATTATTTGAAATGGAGGCCATCTGGGATTCATTTCGACTCAAGAAACCCAAGTACATCCAACTTCAGGAACATGACTAGGGTAGAAAACGAAAAGACTAACTTTGTGTTAGTAAAATTATAGTCTCTAGAGAGGAATAAAAGACAGTTTTATATTATCTGGAGTGTTTCAGTCAAGATTTCATTTTAAATATCCCTCTGCTAGTATCTCTGTTCTGCCTGGCAGCCTCTAATTTGCTTAATTCAGTACTTTGGGTAATCCTGTCATTTTTGTCCCCAAACTCTAAGTTC